TGTGATTGGTGTCTGAAGGAGGGGGCAGTCTCGTGGAACTGAGCCTTAAATGTGAGGTCTGTGCTAATGACAGGCAGTTAGTGTCAGAATTGAAGCAAATGGAAGGCCACTCAGCTGTCTGGGAAGTTGAAGAACTGGCTGATGTAAGAAAACTCTCACACATTTGGTGTCAGAGTGTGAGGAAAACTAGGTCACAATGGTGATGACACTCAGCTGGGCACAGTAGCTCACATGTGTAATCCCAGCACTTTGGGAGGACAAGATGGGCGGATCATTTGAGGTCAGGAGTTTGAGACCAGCCTGACCAACATGGTGAAACTCCATCTCTACTAAAAATACAAATACTGAAAAAATAAAAAAATCAGTTGGGCTTGGTGGCAGGTGCCTGTAATCACCTCAGGTGATCTGCCCACCTTGGCCTCAACCTGTACCGTTCTAAGAGCCTCGTGGGGTTTGTCTCGTTTAACCCTTACCACAGTCCAGAGAGGTGAAGTCACCTGTCTGAGGTCACACAGCAGCTCAGCGATGGAGCTGGCTCCAGCCCCAGAGAGATACTGAGGCTGCTCCTCTCACAGCCATACTTCCTGGACCCCCTTCCCACCATCCAGTCCTGCCTAGAGCCTGCTCAGAGCTAGTGCCCAAGGAGAGCCTGAAAGCAGGTTACTGAACGCAGCAGCGGCTGCAGCCTGAGTCTCCCGTCTCCTGGGGTGCACCGAGGCCATGTTGCCTCATTACCAAGCGTGCGTTTCTTCAGATGCATAGCGGGACCCACCTGGAAGGAACTGTCAGTGCTTTCTATTTCCTGGGTGGCGATGCTCAGCCACGTTTCTCTGTCTGGGAGGATCCATTGGTCCCAGCACACAGCTGTGTGGGTCCATGACTGTCACCTGAGTTCACACAGATTCTATGAGAGCCGCTGCTGACAAGGGCAACATTGTCTGTGCCCCCCTTCCCCTGGAATGGAGGGAGGCAGCTTGAGTGGCAGAAGGGGTTCCCAAGAGGCTGGGAGAGGCCGGGTGCGGTGGCTCACGACTGTAATCCCAGCACTTTGGGAGGCTGAGGTAGGCGGATCACTTGAGGTCAGGAGTTCGAGACCAGCCTGGCCAACATGGTGAAACCATGTTTAGCCTCTACTAAAAATACAAAAATTAGCTGGGCATGGTGGCGTGTACCTGTAATCCCAGCTACTCAGGAGGCTGAGGCAGGAGAATCGCTTGAACTTGGGCGGCTGAGGTCACAGTGAGACGAGATCACACCACTGCACTCCAGCCTGGGCCACAACCGGAACTTTGTCTCAAAAAAAACAAAAGAGTTGGGGAGACCCTGGCCCAGGGCTAGCTCGCACCTCCTCTCTGGGCCTCCAGGTGCCCTCTCAGCTCTCCTGGGCGCTGCTCTCACGCTGGCTTGTGGAAACCAACTTAGCCAAGAGAGTTGGGGCAGTTCTCTCTGCAGGCCACAGCCGTGGGTGGCCGTCTACCCCCATGGGCATTTGGGATGCTTTGGACCTGTGCCCTGAGGTGAGCAGTACCAAGGTCCGTGTCCTGAGGCCTGGCTCTGCGCCATGCGGCAGGTGATGTGTGTGCAGGTGCCAAGTGAGAGCCCGGGTGCAGCGGGGGAGAGAAGGGGGGCGGGACCCCACGCAGCCTCCTCACACTGTGGGCGCACCCAGGGCAAGCTGTAAATGCTAACAGCAGCAAATCAATTTCACAAAGCAATTTGTCCCCTCTCTCCTGCTGGCCCCAGGAGGCTTAGCTTAATGACTCTGGCACGCTGTCAGCAGATAGCCGGAGATGCACAAATCCCTGCCTTCCGCAGGGAAACAACTGGCCTTGCCAGGGCGGGAGGGACCAAAGAGCCCTGGGGCAGAGCCAGGCAGGTGGCATCCTGAAGTCGCCACGGAGTCTCCTCCTCTTCCTTGCTCCCCTCACCTTCCTCCCTTTTCTTCGCTGAGCAGAACCTGAGCTCTCTCGTCCCCTCCCTGCTCACTGGAAGCAGGAGAGAAACCAATGCCCCACCACCACACACAATGGAAACAATAAGACCCCCATTCGCAGCGAAATAAATCCCAGGGCCGGGTCTGCAGGCGGTACTGATGACGAAGGCCAGCTTAAATCCTCTCTGGAAGAGAGTGAGGTCTAGACAAAGACAGAAAATAGAACCTCGGCCTTTCCAGAGGGTCTGCTACCCAGTCAGCAAGGGCTGCCTGCCCCGTGGCCACACAGCGGTGAGGGTGATGCCGGGGGTGCTGACCTGGCCCTGGGGACACGCAAGGCCCCCACTCACTCTCCTGCACTCAGAGAGGACAAGCAGCTTGCCTGAGGCCCCACAGCCAGGAGGGTAGGAGCGGGGCTGCAGCTCTGGTCTTGACTACTGTGGGCATAGGGTCTGGAGGGCACAGAGGATGGGATCTCCAGACCACACTTCCTGCACCATCACCTGGCCCTCCTACCGTGTCTGGGTTCCCAGGAGCAGCCCTCTGCCCGAGGTGGCTGAGGAAGAAGGGAAAACCATTAAGCCTCAGAAAAGCATTTTCCATCAATGGTCCATCCACCTCCCTCCAGCACCAGGAGAGGCCACAGACCAAGCCCAGCCAATCGGAGAGGGGCAGCTGCTCCAGTGGGAAGCCCCGCCCCCACCTCCCCAGGGGCGTGGGATTTCCTCTACTCCAGAATGTCCACCCCCAGACCCCAGCCTGTCCCTCCCTTTTCACCCCAGGCCCCGCCATCCTTTTAAAGGGAACAATGCAGATTTAAACCACAAATTAAATTTTTAATGAAAGCACACAGCAGTAGTGTCCAATGCGATGCAGTATTGATGAGATCACGGTGTCTGGCGGGTGCTCGCCCCGGAAAGCTTTTTAGGATGTTACGCAACATGGGACCAAATTAATTATTTGCAACAAAGGGCTCGGTGTCTGTAGTGCCGCTGGGGCCCAGTGAGTGGGAATCTGGCACTTTTCATTATTGCCAGCTCTGAATGGCAGCCACAGGGAGGGGGCGGTGACATCACAGACCAAACACGACTCAGAAGGACAGGAAGAGAGAGAGGGTGTGAGGCAGGGGCGGGGAGAGGAGGGGATGGAGAGGTCTCGCTGGGAGCACTGGGTCCTACAAGCAGATACTGCAGCAAAATGCAGCACATTTTTTCCAAGTCCCGAGATCCAGAGCTCCCGGCTTCTGACCCCTCACCCAGCTTCCCAAGGCCTCCCCTCATTCAAAGGGGCTTCGGCAGGGCTGAGTGCCTCCCCTCGGAGGATGACGGCACTCTCCTCAGCTGCAACCCGTCCTCAGGTACAGGGGTGCAAGGTGCCCTGAGCTTGGCTATCAGCCGGCGAGATTTCTGGTGGCCGGGCCTCTGTCCTGCCGAGTTACCCCAGGCTCCAGCCCCGCCATGGGACTCCACCTGCAGGGTGCCCATAGTCTGCCCAGGACGAAGTGGGCACGCCCCTGGGCCAGGCAGCTTAGCCCTCCCAGGCCAGTGAAGCTGGGCCTGCAGGAGCCTCCCTGGATGCAACCCCTGGGTGACTGGCCACCCAAAGCAGAGCAAAATGGGGAGTGGGGTGGTGGGAAGAGCTGCAGGAGGGGCGTCCGAAGAGCAGAGGGAGCTCCCGCCTGGCCCCCGCCCTCCCTGCCAATATTCCATGCTCTTGTGACACCCAGCACAGGTGCCAGCACTGGGCCCACAGCTCCCCAGTGTGTCCCAATAACGCTGTGCCTTTGACTTCAGTTCCTGGCAGGCAGGAAAAGTGGCTCCTTCACAGGTGGAGAAATCAAGACTATGGAGGGTGAGACCCTGGCCTAGGATTTGAGGACTGGGGAGGGTGCAGGGGGCCCAGGCTCCTACCAGCCTCCACGGGCACCTCCTGTGGGCTGAGCTGCTCTCCTCCCAGCCTCTCTCTCTCCTACACCAGGAGATGCCAGCCAGGGCTGGGAAAAGGCCACGAAGCACAAGTGACAGGAATGTCTGAGACTGGCCTATGGCGCAAGGACACAGACACCGGGGCCAGCAGGGCTTGGCCAGAGGCTTGTGAAGGGGAGACGGGGTTGCAGGATCCATGAGAAATCACCCTGAGCAGCCACAGAGGCCCGGCCCTGATCATGGCCAGCCTTGTAGTTCACATGGATTGAGACGCGGAAGCCACATATGGCACAACTTGGGGTGCACTGCCCACCCCCACTGCTGTTCTTGCTCGTCACACTACCAGATCACTGGGACAGCCTCCTGAGGAGTCTCCTGCCTGCTACGGCCCAACACTGCATCCAGTCTCCATCAGGAGGCCATGACAGCTCCTGTCCCAAAACCTTCTGTGGCTCCCCCTTGCCCTCTGAAGTCAAAGGCACAGCGTTATTGGGACACATTGGGGAGCTGTGGGCCCAGCGCTGGGACCTGTGCTGGGTGCCCCAAGAGCATGGAATATTGGCAGGGAGGGCGGGGGCCAGGCAGGAGCTCCCTCTGCTCTCTCACCATGGGTGTGGTGGAGAGGGACAGATGGGATGGAGAGGGATGGATGGAATGGAGAGGGGCGGGTGGGATGGAGAGGGACGGACGTGGTGGAGGATCCCTGTTTGCCTCCTCTGCAGAGTGGGCAGAATCAAACATAGGAATGCCACCTGCCAAAGCCACCTGCTGGGTGTGTTAGGTCATCCAATGAAGTAATCTATGTGAAGACACCTTGGGAAATGTAACAAAAAAACTTTTGTATTTGCAATGTACCTAATTGTTTTTGTTTGCTTGTTTCTGAGACAGAGTCTCACTGTGACGCCCAGGCTGGAGCGCAATGGCGCGATCTCAGCTCACTGCAACCTCTGCCTCCCAGGGTCAAGCAATCTTCCTGCTTCACCCTCCTGAGTAGCCGGGATTACAGGCGCCCACCACCACACCTGGCTAAATTTCGTATTTTTAGTAGAGACAGGGTTTCACCATGTTGGCCAGGCTGGTCTCAAACTCCTGACCTCAGGTGATCCGCCCGCCTCGGCCTCCCAAAGTGCTGGAATTTCAGGCGTCAGCTACTGCGCCGGCCCTGCATTGTGAGCCACCACCCCAGAGCCCTGGACACTCCCTGAGGGCTGGCTTCACTCCACCTGCAGCCCTGTCCCTAGAGGAGGAGGCACACTGGCTGCTGCCTCCGTCGGCAGGCGACCACACTCTCCTGCTCCTAGGTGTGAGTGATGGTGTCAGCGCATGGTCCTTGTAATAACTGTAATCCCTTGCCAGTGCACATCATTTTTATTCCGAAACACTTTTATGCCTCAACTCATTTTATATTTCATATGCCCTCTCCTGGCGTCTGGCAGGTGGTAAAATTGATGTGCAAAGACAGAGCGGCCTGGAAGCCCCTGGCCCCCATCGCAGCAGCCAGATGCTGTAGCTGGAGGGGTGTCCTAGCTCAGGAACCAAATGAATGCAAACTGGGGGGCTGGGGTGGGGGCCCTAGGGCCATTCCTGACCTGGCTTTGTATTTGCCAGCTCCATGTTGGGGATGCAGAGAAGGCGGGTGCTTGAAAGCATTTTGAAGTCCAGAAGGTCCTGGACTGAGAGCACTGGTATCTGCTGCCCTTGTCACTGTTGAATGCGAGGTCAGAAATCTCAAAACAATGGTCCTTGAATATGGGAGTCCCAGGGTGCTCTTCTCAGCTTCCTTCTGCTTTTGAACCCACTGTCTCCCTGTGGGGGCTCCCGACTGACTTGGCTGTGAGTCCACTGCCCCTAAAGACGCTTCCGTCCTCCCTGTGCACCCTCAGGCCCCAGGCCCCTTCTGCTCGGGTCAGCTCAGGACCAGCCTCCTGGTTTTGCAATCTCAAGAGCCACCTCGGTGTTGGGCTCTGACCTCCTCACAGATGTCAGAAAGTCACTGGAAACTCCGTGTGTCCCCGTGTGAACTCTGGGCTCCCCCTCCCTCCAAGCCACCCCCTCCCCGGGCTCCCCACCCCTCTCTGCAGGCAGGATCACCACCACCCCCTCGCACAGGAGCCGGGATCTTCCCAGGTTCCTCCCTCTCCTTCACTTCCCACACCCAAGCCACCACCAAGCTCCTGCCAAGGAATCTCCCAAATGCCCTCAAGCGTCTCAAACCCAGCCCCCTCCCTCCCTGGCTCCTATGACATCATCCTCCAGCTCAGCTCTGCCCTCACGGAGGGCTCCCAGACAGCGTCCCCACAGGACTGCGGCTGCTCCCCGACGTCCTGGCCCACCTTGTCCACAATTCCCCACATCTACCACAGCCCCTGCTTTGCAGTTCACTCTTGGCAGGATGAACTCCGTCCCTCTCCCCACGGCCTGCCCCTCATGGCTCTGGCATTGCTCATGCCAGCCCCTCAGCTCACTCCTCAAGACCCCTGTTATCACCTCCACAGGAGACCCCTCCCGCTGACGGCCGGACCCCGCCCATGTGCCTGGCGCCTCCTGCCCCGTGGCCCTCACTCATGCATGGGACCCAAGGTGTACCCATCCCTGTGTAGCCTGACAGGTCGAGTGGTCTCTGGGGTGGAGAATAGTGTTTGACTCAACCTGGCCCCATCACCTGGCCTGCCCCTAAATGCATGCTCTGGAAATATCTGAACAGAGAGCAACTGTTCTGAATGGTTACACTATGCCAAATGCATGAGAATCTGCCTGGTGCCAAGAAACCCCTTAAAGAGGAAGACATGCCTTCCCCAGCTGGGAAGTGCTCACCTTTCCCCTGCAGCTTCTGGTGGGTGATAGGGATCAGCCAATCAGCAGTTCAGGAGCACCCATTCCCCATCCTCTATCCCAGCACTGGGCTCAGCCTGAGAGAAGGAAAGGACAGGGCGGGGAAATAGACCACCGAGGGCTCTCTCCCCAGCCAGACTGGGCTAGTGGCTGCCTGGCTGGCTCAGAGGAGGAAGGCGGTCCTTGCTGTGGGGAAACCCTTGGCAGGAGAAGGGAGTCTGGGGTGGGAGCCCAGCTGTCCCAGGCAAATGGGGCACTGCCCGTGACCCGTTGGCTCCTGGCTGCAGCTGCTGCAGGCTTCATGGCATTTGCATTGTGGGCACCAGTGCACAGCCCTGGGGTGAGGGCTGGCTTCTCCTCTGAGGATGGCCGGTGAGAAGCTCCTGAGCCTGGGGTCCGAAACCACACCTGCCCTGACCACTCACTGGGCATGGGTGGGCTGGGGCACCGTCCCCCAGGGCTTTTCCCCTGCAGCTCCTGTGCTGGGCAGAGAGAAAGTGGCCATGGCGTGTGAAGGCCGGGCTTGGCCCCGGCTCTGCCTTCGCTGGACATCCGCGTGACCTTGGCTTCGTGGGTTTCCCTAGGTTTCCTCTCCGGTGAGCGAGGACCAGAGCCCAGCTCTGCCTTTGAAAGGCGAATGCGTGAATGTGGTGGGAGGACTTGGAAAGGGGACAAGTGCTTGTTTGTAAGATGCAGTTCAGTTACCAGTGCAGGGGTGTCAGAGAGAGGACAGAAGGGAAGGCTCAAGTCGGGCGCCTCCCTCAGCAGAGCGGGGAGCAGGGACCTGTCCCTTATCACACAGAGTTGGTTTGTGGGGCTGTCAGGAGTGACTCTGAGGCACAGGTGGGCTGAGGCTGTGACTCAGAGGTCCTGTGGGGGCTGGCTGCCGTCAGAGCAGCCCCACACCCACCCCTGTGGGTCCAGGGGCGCCTCACTTGGGGGAAGGGTCACGTGGCCTGACTGTTTCTTGAAGGCTCATCTGCCAGAGGCCCCTGTGCCTTCTCCCCTGGTGCGCCAGGATGCCTCTCTCCTCTGCCCAGGACAACCCGTGGATGCTGTCCCCGCACCGTGTGTGAGGCACAGAACCACAGAGAAGAGAGCATGGATGGCACCTGGACAGCCCAGTGAATGGCCATGAAACAACCCCCCCGAGGGATCAGCACCCAGACTGAGAAACAACATGTCGGCAGCCTGGGAGCTGCTGAACATTCGGATGCAGATGAAAATGGTGTTGAACATCTCAGGGAATGCCCCCACACTCAGAACCCCAGCCACTCACCTCACCGCAGACTGGCCCCTCCTAGTCTAGCTGCAACGCAGTGCATCTCTGGGGGCACAGCTGTCCTCCAGAGGGGCATGTCCTAACTTTGGCTGAGGTGCTGTGTCCCAGGACTGTGATCAACGAGGGCCGCTGCTTCTCTTCTGCAGGTGGGGGACCAGGGCCTCTCCCACCCCACCACACCCTCCCCTCCCAGCCTCACCCCTCCAGAGGCAACATGGAATCTCATGCTGGAGGGCTGAGGCAGGTGGGGGCGAGGAAGGGTACCTCTGCCCAGCACCTCCCAGTGCCCACAGGCCCTCCCAGCATTCTCCCAGCACCCACCCATTGCTCACCCTCTTTCCTGCTCAGGATGGAGGTTCCATATGAGTTCAAGGCATGGCCTGGAAGAGGAGAGGCCCAGGAGCTGCTGCAGCGTGAGCAAGGGTGCAGGCACCTGCCAGGCTCCAGCACGTCCCTGCAGGACCTCCCAACGTCCGCCGAGTACAGACTCTTGATGTGCACCGAGGTCCTCCTGACACTGCCCAACCTACCTGTCTAGCCTTCTTTTTAAATTTTTCTTTTTTTGAGACAGGATCTTGCTCTGTCACCCAGGCTGGAGTGCAGTGGCACGATCTTGGCTCACCACAGCATCAACTTCCCAGGCTCAAGCAATCCTCCCACCTCAGCCTCCAGAGTAGTTGGGACTGCACGTGCACACCACCATGCCTGGCTAATTTTTGTATTTTTGTAGAGATGAGGTTTTGCCGTGTTGTCCAGGCTGGTCTCGAATTCCTGGGCTCAAGAGATCCACCTGCCTCAGCCTCCCAAAGTGCTGAGATTACAGGCATGAGCCACCGTGCCCAGCCATTAAATTTTAAACTAAGTAAATGTATAATTAAATAAATTATATTTTAAGTAGGCAATAAATACTCCAAAGTCATCACTTTCTAGGCATTTTGTTACACCGTTGTCTTTTTTTATTTTTGGAGACAGAGTCACCTTCTTGTCTTTCTGTTGCCAGGCTGAAGTGCAGTGGCGTGATCTTGGCTCACTGCAGCCTCTGCTTCCCAGGTTCAAGTGATTCTCCTGCCTCCGCCTCCCGAGTAGCTGGGATTACAGGTTTGCACCACCTTGCCTGGCTAATTTTTGTATTTTTAGTAGAGACGGGGTTTCACCTTGTTGGCCAGGCTGGTCTTGAACTCCTGATCTCAGGTGATCCACCTGCCTTGGCCTCCCAACGTCCTGGGATTACAGGCTTGAGCCACGGCACCGGGCCTTGTCTATGCTTTCAGGATTTATTCACATTTATTGCACCAGTATGGTGGGAGTGCTATAATATATACCACTGTCCTAGGCCAGGAGCCATGGCTCGCACCTGTAGTTCCAAGATCAAGGTGAGAAGAAATCAACCATCTCTACAGAAAAAAAAAAGAAAAAAAATAGCTGAGTGTGGTGGTGCAGGAAGATCGCTTGAGCCCAAGAGGTAGAGGCTGCACTGAGCTGTGACTGCGCCACTGCACACCAGCCTGGGCAACAGAGCAAGACCCTGTCTCAGAAATAAAATGATAGTATGCCAGTGTGCCTGGCTTCCCTACGAGTAACACCGTGTCATGGGAAGCCTCAAATGTACCCAGCTGGGAGTCCTATGGAAGATCCTTCACCCCAGCTGGATCTTCCGACCTGGGAGCCAGACACCCGGATGACTTTGGTCAGGGCGGCCCTTTGTTTTCCTGCTCCCTCCCTCTCGGATACTTGCAGAACACTGGGGTGGCCGAGGGAACCTCAAACACGACCAGGGCTGGACCTCTGCTTGCCCAGGGTCTTGCAAGGGAGAAAAGCGGCATGGTGGTCCTCGCGTGTCTGTGCGGCGCCCGCAGGTGTCTTGCCCAGTGCCTCCTGCAAGGCAGTCGCAGGCTGGACCCTAGGGTCCCGGCCCATCCAGCGCGGTCTCCTCCCCCAGGGCCCCACAGGCTGCCCCAGACACTGGCCCAGGCTCCCCTCCCTCTCTGACGCCGTCCTCTCTGGTCCTCTGTGGAGGAAAACCTGCCCATCTGTGCCAGGTGCTGGACCGCTGAGGTCTGCAGCACTAGAGGAAAAGCCAGGCCGGGTCCCTGGCCTTGGGCGGCCGGGAAGGCTCCGCCGCTGCTGGGACTCGAGGCGCGGAGCCAGGTTCAGGGTCCCTCCGGGTCCAAACAGCCTGCCCCGGGGAGGGCCGGGCTCCTCTCCCGCGCGCGCTCTCGGCACAGCGGGCTACAGGCCTAGTGGACACAGCCTCCCACCGGACGCGTGCGGGAGGGCGGCGAGGCCACAGCGCTGGGCCAGGAGGGCACCGGCTCAGCGGCTCCCAACGGAGCTGGGGCAGAAGCCGCCGCACCCCCGCGCGGGGAATTCCTCCCGAGGCAGGTTCCAGCCCGTGGCGCTCCCGGCGCAGACCACGCGTGGGGACTGGCGAGGCTAACCCCTCTCGCGGCCCGGGGTCCGTCCGCAGAGCACGCGAGGGGCCGCGGGCCGCGTGGGTTTGGGCGCGCCGTGGCGGGTGAGCGGGAACCCCCACACCTGCCACGCGGGGCCGAGGAGAGGCGCGTGCGGACCGCGGGGTCCCTCTGGCGCCGGGAAGCGGCGGCCGAAGGACACCCGAGCTCGCAGCCCTGGCTCAGGGAGGCTTAAAGGCTAAGACGCTGAACGCAGGAGTCCGGGGGGCTGGGGGTGGGAAGAGGCCGCGGTTTCTCAAAAAGGTCTCCATGCAGCAGGTCTTGGCTCCTGCCCGCGGGACAAACGCCGGATCCTGGCACCTGAGGCTGCCCTTGGGTCCCTGCCGGCTGGGTACGCCCCCTACCCCCAGTCCCCCCTGCGCTCAGGGAACCGCTGCAGAACGCAGGGACCAGAGAGGCCGGGAGCGGCGGGAAGGGTCGAGGGCCCACGGCTCTAGCCCGGCCCCAAAGTCTCGGCACCTGTTTCCTTCTCTGTAGAGCAGGAGCGTGAACAGAGGGATTTCCGAGGCTTTCACGGCTCTGATGGCTGCGGGGCGGGGTGGCGGCGCCAGCCCCGGTCCGGAGCCCCCAGCCCGGCGTGGGAAACCGGACGGGGATCCCGGAGCCAAGCCCAGCGGTCAACTAAAAGGCGCGAGTCCGCGGTTACCGGGTGGGGCGTCTGAGCGAGCGCCGACGTGCGGAGCTTCTCAGGTGGACGCCCCGCTGGCCCTCGGGCCTGAATGGGCGCAGCTGGGCGGACGGGAAACAGCCCCCCACGCACTGGCGGACACCCGGGGACATCGGACGCGCGTCGCGCCTGGCGAGGGGAAGCGGCTGGGGTGCTGGTGGCTACTCCCCCGGGGCCCCCTTTCAAAGAGCATTCCCGAGGCCGCTGCGAAAGTCCAGCCCCGGTGACCGCGCCTGCCCGGAATCGGGCCGGCTCCGCTGCCAGAAAGGCTCGAACCGCTGGGGCGGCCTCCGAGAAGTGCCTGGCGCCCGGGCCGCACCGGGTGGGGGCTGACAGTCCCGGGGGTGGGGGGACGCTGCCGGGTCCACAGAGCCCGAGGGCTGGGGGAGGGCAGGCGCCGAGGTCGGGAGCCGTGCGAAGTCCCCGGACCCAGGCTGCTTGGCGGCTTTTCAACAGCGCACGGACACCTGATAAACGCGGGGCGGCCCGGGGACCCCCGCTCTGGCCTCCGCAGTGCTGACCACCCGGCACGCGGATGTTGAAGATCTGGGTTCTTGGGGACCCAGCCCGGCTCCCAATGCCCCCAGTCCGATGGTGTTCCGTGCAGCCAGGAGACCCGAACGTCTAATTGTGCCTCCCGGACCCGCCGAGGTTTCCCACCCGCCCGGAGCCCCGTCGGAGGTGTGGGGACACCAGGCAGGTGGTCCATCCTCGAGGCCGGGGCCACAGCCCAACCTCCTTCCCCTGGGCTCTCGGAGCCTTCGGGGCAGCAGTGCTGGCCCAGGCGGGAGCGGGGAAGGAGGGGGCCGCGGCAGTGCCCAGAGGGGCGGGGCGGGTTGGGGGGACGCGAGCGGAGGCGGCCCCGGGGGCGCGTTCCTGAGACCCCAGCCGCGCCGCGGGCCCGGGCCGCAGACAATTAAAGCGGGATTCCTCCCCCGCTGACGTCGGCGGCGCGAGGCCCCTCCCGCGGCGGCATAAAAGACGCGGGCTCCGCAGCGCAGGCGGCAGTGGGGGCCTGAGAGCGCGGCGGTGTGGACCGCGCGGCTGGAGAGCGAGGCGCCCAGAGCGCGGGCCGCTCGCGGAGCTACAGCCCGAGCCGGGTACCCGCCGGAGCCGAGCCCCAGCCGAGCCGAGCCCGGCCCGGAGCTCCGGGTGCCCGCAGCCATGCCAGCCGGCCGCGCCGCGCGCACCTGTGCGCTGCTCGCCCTCTGCCTCCTGGGCGCCGGGGCCCAGGATTTCGGGCCGACGCGCTTCATCTGCACCTCGGTGCCCGTGGACGCCGACATGTGCGCCGCGTCCGTGGCCGCCGGCGGCGCCGAGGAGCTCCGGAGCAGCGTGCTGCAGCTCCGCGAGACCGTGCTGCAGCAGAAGGAGACCATCCTGAGCCAGAAGGAGACCATACGCGAGCTGACCGCCAAGCTGGGCCGCTGCGAGAGCCAGAGCACGCTGGACCCCGGAGTCGGCGAGGCCCGGGCGGGCGGCGGCCGCAAGCAGCCCGGCTCGGGCAAGAACACCATGGGCGACCTGTCCCGGACACCGGCCGCCGAGACGCTCAGCCAACTCGGGCAAACTTTGCAATCGCTCAAAACCCGCCTGGAGAACCTCGAGGTCCGCGCGCGCCCTCCGGCTCCGATTACCCCTCCGGCTCGCTCGCCCCTCTGCCCTCCCCCACCCGGTTCTTTCCCTACCCGGCCAGGCATCCCCCACCTCCGCCCCGGCTGCGCGCGGGTGCCTGGCCGGTGCCTCCGCGCGTCTGCGAGGCCCCATGGCGGCCACTCGCCCCAGCTCCCTGCCCGGCCACCCCCGCAGTCGCCCCGATGCGACCGCGCCGCGAGCCTTCCAGCCACGGTCCCCAGCCTCGCCTAACCGTTTCCCCCGCTCTTGCCCCCCGCAGCAGTACAGCCGCCTCAATTCCTCCAGCCAGACCAACAGCCTCAAGGATCTGCTGCAGAGCAAGATCGATGAGCTGGAGAGGCAGGTGCTGTCCCGGGTGAACACCCTGGAGGAGGGCAAGGGGGGCCCCCGGAATGAGACCGAGGAGAGGGTCAAGATCGAGACCGCCCTGACCTCCCTGCACCAGCGGATCAGCGAGCTCGAGAAAGGTACTGGGGCCGGGGGAGCCGCGCTGCCTGCCCCCGCCTGCTTGCCCGACGCTGCCTCCGGTCCTAACAGCCCAGCTCCGAGCTGGGCGAGCGCAAGCCACCCTACCCACCCAGACCCCTGCAGCCCTTTCTCATCCCCCACACCCCTGCCCAGGTTCTGGGTTTCTAGTCCGGGTTTCTGGCAGGACTGAGTGCCCTGGGCTGGGGCTGTGTCTGGGAAAGGGGAGCAGAAGGGAGGAAGGGATTGCATAGTGCCCCTCCCCCATCCAGACACACTCACACACTCTTGCTGGATTTTTCAAGTCTGATTTGTTTAATCCTCAGTAACTTTGCACAGTGGCTGCCGCTGGCCCAAACCCTCCCTGCTTAAGGAAGCTGGTCCCCAGCCTCCGAGGACAGCTGGGTGCAGGTTGGGTGCTCTGGGTCCCCAGGCCGCTGGGGCTGTTCAGTGGGTTTCCTCGCAGCTGCCATGCCCCTGGTGTCTTCTCACGATCCCCAGCTCTTCCCCACTTCTGTCCTGAACCCCTACCCCGAGGTTTTCTCTTCTGGGTGCTCCAGGCCCTGGTATCTGTCAAATCCCTGAGGCTTCCCAGTCACCCACTCAGGCCAGCCCAGCTCTCACCTGGGGCGCCTGGATGAGCTCAGGAGGCTCTGTCTTGAAGTCGCAGAAATCAAACAAGGTTGTAAAGGGGGGGAGGGTGCCCGGTGCGGAGCAGGGCCACGTGACCCTGCTCAGACCGCAAAATGTGCCGGACAGATTTAAACAGTGCCATCTTAAGGCTTGTTATGTAACTGAAAAACAGATCTGGAGAAGGAAGGACCTCAGGAGAGAGGGAGAGGGAAGGAGGGGGAGCCTGGGGAATGAAAAGCACCCTGGAATGAAAAGGCCAGGGGCTGGGTCCCTCCCCACCCCCCACCAGGCCTCCGTGGGTCAGTCGGGAGAGCTGCCCTGAAGGGTCTGCCCTGCCCTGCTCCCTGACAGTTGGTTTAGAGGAGGGGGTGGTTGCTGGCTGGGCAGGATGCCTTCTAGAAATAATTTTTAGCCTGGGGAACTGGTTTCTTTCTGGGCTCCCTGGCAGGACCACGGCTGCACACCCAGGGGTTGGCGAGGGGAGGGGGTGTTTCTGGGCTCTGGGCCTGGTCCTGGTGCCCATTGCTGCCCAGGAATGTTTTGCCTGGAGTCAGTCACACCACACCCAGGGTGCCACAGTATATAGATGGACTGGGGGTGGGGTTGGCACTCACTGGAGAAGTGGCTGTCAGAGGGCAGGGGAGAAGATGGGCTTTGTGGAAGGGGAGGCCACCAGTCCTGGAGCCTGAGCTGTGACGACGCTTGCTCACTAAAAGTGTGTGGTGGCATCCTAGAGCAGTCACCTTGGGGAGCCCTGGCTCCAGAAGGGCGTCCCGGCTCCTGGCTGCCCTCCCCTCAGCAGGCTCCAGGCAGAGTCCTGGGAAGGGCCTTGGAAATGGGGAGATGCTCAGCCTCACACACCAAGAGGCACTGGTGGGTCAGATGCACATCTAGCATCGAGGGAAGAGTGTGGGCACCAGGGCCTGGCTGTCGGGTGGGGAGGCAGGAGTGGGGAGGCAGGAGCAGAGCCCAGGATGAGTGAGGAGGGGAACCCCGCCCCATCCTGGAATCAGGTCGGCCCCAGAGGGGTCTACTCTCAGGATAGCTAGCCTCATTCCTCCTCTGCAGCCACCGGTGCTCTGTGGGTTGACTGGGTGTGCACTGGCTTGGCTGTCCCCATTCCCTACTCATGCCCCATTCCCACCACGCAGCCCAGTGTATGTGCTGCAGCCCACTAGGCACTGCGCCGCCCCCCCCCACCGGGGATGCCAGCACGTGGGAGTGAGAGCCGGCCAGACCCGGAGCACCGAGAGCTTGGGTCAGCTCTTTACGGACTGGCCCTGTGCCTTGGGGCAAAGTACTTGACCTGGGAAGCCACCCGCTCGGCCTCTCCAGAGTGGAGACTGGAGCCTGCCTTGGCCGCATCACAGAGCTTGGTGGAGACAGAACTCACTGACACACCCATAAGCACTTCCTGCAGGTACAGCTGTCAGGCCGTGTCCTACCCTCCACAGGGCAGAAAGACAACCGCCCTGGAGACAAGTTCCAGCTCACCTTCCCGCTGCGGACCAACTACATGTACGCCAAGGTGAAGAAGAGCCTGCCCGAGATGTACGCCTTCACCGTCTGCATGTGGCTGAAGTCCAGCGCCGCGCCAGGGGTGGGCACGCCCTTCTCCTACGCTGTACCTGGCCAGGCCAATGAGCTGGTCCTCATTGAGTGGGGCAACAACCCCATGGAGATTCTCATCAATGACAAGGTAGCGTCCTCAAGGGACGGCAGGGCGAGGCCCCGGGGCTCGGGCTCAGGTTGCACGCTAGGACAGGGCTCCGGCCCAAGGAAAGGGTTTGCCAGGTGGGACTGGGTGGCGGGGGGGGGGGAGACCAGGGGAAGTGGGAGGGGAACCGTCGCCTCTACTGGGAGAGCAGGGAGAGCAGGGAGAGCTGGACGTTCCCAGATGCCTCCTGGGGTGGGTGTGGGAGATGGCAGAGAATGAGCTGTGGGGCCTGGTGCAGCCCGATGGTGTGATCTGACTCCTTCACCAGCTGGCTTGGGAACTGGCTTTGCCCCTCCATTCTGGGGGCCCAGAGATGCTCTAGGGTGGTAAGGGGGCCTTAGAGATGTTTCCTGAGTCCAAGTCTATCCCCCTCAGCCCCCTAACTCAGGGGGAGGACAGGTCTGTGTGACCCCCTGGAAGAGGACGGCACAGACAGTCTTTCCCTCCAGTGAACCTTCCCCCTCCTCCCCTGTTAGCTGCAGAACCAGCTGCCAGCTTTCAAACTGCCTCAACTCCAGGCCAGCAGTGGTGGTCAGTGGCTAAAACCTGGGCTGGGAAGTGGATTCCAAGCCCCTGTTCCTGTTACTCTTCCCCCCAAAGCGCTGTGCCATTCTGGGCCCCCTTTCCTGAAGCGAAAAGGATGTGAGGCTTCTTTCCCCATCATCATCCTCCCCACCTGGAACGGTAGCAGGGGAGTGAAATGCCAGATCGGAGGCTGGTCTGAGCTTTAAAAGGCGTCGTGCCCTATGGCATCTCTTGGATCCTCGTCCGGGGCTTGCCGTGTTGCAGAGGGAGAGGGTGTAACAGCTGGAGATGGGACGCTGGAAGAGAGAGGAGGCTGCAGAGATGTCGCAAGGGTGCCTGAGCGGCAGCAGTGAACTCAGACACCAGGGACAGCCTCCAGCCAAGGGTTCGTTGTGTAGACTAGCGCAGAGGGAGGAGAGTGACTAGGAGTGTAGAGACTGCACCCACAGGGCCCTGGGGGTTCCCTGGGTGGAGTGCTACATTTCCTGTGTGATTCTGTGCCCCACTCCCGGGCGCAGCTGGCAGATGCGGAAGTCTGGGGCATAGGTGCCGTGAGGATTCAATAGTAGTTCCTGATATTTATCTTGCAAGTAGAAATAGAACAACTGAGGCCATGAAGGTCCTGGATCTGAGTCGTAGCCCCGTACCCACTGGCGTCTGCCATTCTCCTTCCCAGGTGGCCAAGCTGCCCTTTGTCATCAACGATGGCAAGTGGCACCACATCTGTGTCACCTGGACCACCCGGGACGGGGTCTGGGAGGCCTACCAGGATGGCACGCAGGGTGGCAGCGGCGAGAACTTGGCGCCCTATCACCCCATCAAGCCCCAGGGCGTGCTGGTCCTGGGCCAGGAGCAGGTACTGTGCTGGGTGTGGCCGGGAAGGAAGGGGAGCCAGGAGGAGGGAGGTAGCCGGAGAGGTGGTTCCCCTGAGCAGCAGCCCGGGGGCAGGCTGGGCTAAGCCTGTGCTCTGGGCGGACTTGGGCTTGGACTCCCTGCAGGAGTGAGCTTTGGCTTCAGTGCTCTCATAGCTGCAGCAACATTTTCTCTGGCATGGGAAGGCCAATTCTGCTTTTAGTGATGAATAATTTAGTTCCCGTTGTCTCCCGTTGGGCACCTGGGAGGGAGACGAAGGGCTGTCTATTCCTGTTGGGCAGCTGCATGGCGTGGAGTGATGTCTGGGCAGGGTTGTCGTGGCTAAGGGACCAGCTGCAGGAGGGGCAGGGCCCAGGTGCCCCCAGGAGAAGGTCCAGGGCAGAGGTGGTCGGCACCATCCCTTTTCTTGGGCTCCCTCGGGGGAGGGACGGATGGAGGGCTGGAGAGTAAGGGACAGGGAGACAGAACGGCACCCAGGAGTGGCCCTGAGAGTCCGTGATGGGGAAGGCACAGAGACGCTGACCCCCAGCCTAGGGATGGGCCCCAGACCACCTGGAGACCCCTCCACCCTCATCCTCTGTTTTTCTCTGAAGGACACTCTGGGTGGTGGGTTTGATGCCACCCAGGCATTTGTGGGTGAGCTGGCCCACTTTAACATCTGGGACCGCAAGCTGACCCCAGGGGAGGTATACAACCTGGCCACCTGCAGCACCAAGGCGCTGTCCGGCAACGTCATCGCCTGGGCCGAGTCCCACATTGAGATCTACGGTGGAGCTACCAAGTGGACCTTCGAGGCCTGTCGCCAGATCAACTGAGCGCTGCAGGCCAGGCCGAGCCTGCCGCCCGCCTCCCCCTGCTTGTGCGGCGATGATCCGTTTCGTGCGTCTCTTCTTCTCTCCCCTTTCCCCAGGAATGAACAGAGGCCGTCGCCCCTGCACACGCACACGCACACAGCCTGGTTTTGTCCTCGCCCTGCTCCCATCTGTCCCTGAGGAGGCCCCACTTCTCTGTAGGAGCCCAGACTCTCAGGCATGCCCCATTCACAGCTAAAGTGGGCGCCGCGACGTTTTCAACAAGCCAGAAGTAGGTGAGAGGATCTGTGTGTGCGTGTCGACATGTGTGTGTCTACGTGTGCGTGGCTGGGGGAGACCTTTTCTCTGAGGACATACTTCATTTCCGTCTTTCTTTTGGCTTTGGAGAAATCTCATGGTGAAAGTCCGTATTTGCCGACTTTGTCAGCCGCGTGCGTGCCCTGGGGCTGGTGCAGCTCGGTGCACGCATTTGTCTTTATTTGCAAACCTTTTTCAGAGTGACGTTATCTTTATATTGATGTAATAAAGGTTTTTTAGTGGTTTGTTAAGGGCCGGGGGGGCCTCTCTATGGAGAACTTTTACTTTGTAATAGAAGTGAATTGTCTCCGAAGGGTGAAGGCGGACTGTCCTGGGAGGTACCCTGTGCTCTCCCGTGGAGGAGAAGGGATGGCTGAGGTCACTGGCCCTTACCCCAGGGCCAGCCAGCATCTGTCCCTGCTGTTTGCATCTGAGAGCAGCACTCAGCCTGGGAGGCCGGCCTGTGTGCCCAGCTCAGCTGGCTCTGCCCCAGGACTGCCCTGGCCTCAGCCTTCCCACCCCGCCCAGGTCCTTCGAGGCTAGGGTCTGCACCTCCCTTCCCGCCTCTGGACCTGTGCTGCTTCAGCCCAGTTGTCGAGGGTGCCGAGCGAGGAGCATCCCACCCACAGCCCGGGAAGCCAGGCCCCAGCACCCCTCTCCTTTGGCCTCCAGCAGTGCAGACCAGGGGCTTCCAGAGGGGACCTTTTCGGTAAGAAAGCCACGTTTTGATGAAGACCTGGCCACACGGGGCCACTGAGACTTCAACCCAGCCTGTCGGTGGGAAGGCCCTCTTTGGGGGCTTTGACAGCCATATCCCTCCCAGCACACCAGGCCCCAGGTGAGCTGGTTCAAACCCCTCCAAGGGGGCTCCGGAGACCTCACACATAGGGCCAGGCCTGGCCGGGGGG